CCCCAAAACCCCAAAACCCCAAAACCCCAAAACCCCAAAACCCCTTAAACATTACAAATTATAGAACCCAATAAATTAATTTTCATTTCCAAAACAAAATGTCTGGAGATTTTGAAGATTTATACGGAGATCTGGGTGAACTTGACGAAGAGAGTCATAAAGATTCAGACAGTAATCATAACTCATCCCCAAGTTACATCTTAATAAAGTTGCAGGACATGAACTCCTTAGAAGGGATCATAAATGGACAGGCGGTGTCCCTCCCAGTTGCCCAGAGGGAGAAGATTTCCTATATCTTTGATAAGAATAGACAAACTTTGGTCTTCTTTATGACCAAAATTGGTGATACCTCCATAAACTATGAAAAATATTTGTAAGTATATGACTTTGGTTTGAATCATGAACTTCCTTAACTCTAAATATAGAGCAAGAGACAGGGCTATTAACTACAATATTCCATGTATCACAGGCTTCGCAACCGTGCAGGAGAAGACCAAGAGCCATGGGAAGTCCACCATCCATTTTCACGTAGACTGGAACTACAAATATGTAAAATCTCTCAGTAAGAACTTTACTACCGGGTCATTTCTTAAAATTGTGTTTAACTAGTTATTTTAGGCAGTTTTGACTCAAAAATTACCGGAGAGCTAGCTTCCAGTGAAGACATTATTACTGAGAACGAGCTGCTCTCTAAGATCCATGCCTCATTCCTAGGTCAAATTAGAGATGCTGAGGAGGATAAATCTCAAGCTGATGATCTGTACTCTGACTTCAAAGAGACTGAGGCTGACCCGACCAAATTAATAGAGTTCTCAGAATACTACAAGCTTCTTAAAACACAAGTGACCAGTAAGTCAATACGTTAACCGATAGACTTTATCCAAAAGAAGTTTCACGGGAAGCTAGAGTCAGAATCGGCCAAGGAAGACAAGAACTCTGAGGAATCTCCACGCATCAAGGATTCCAAGAGACGCCAAGCTGATGAAGATAAGTCACTGGAAAGGTACATAATTCCTGTAACTTTCAGGCAAATTTCTCATGAGAAAAGGTTTCCAACTCCTCCAAAGCATAACAGGAGCCATCATACCAGAGAAAGGAGGAACTATAGTCGAGACAGGAGGAGCCATAGCAAGGATAGACATCATCTCAAGAAGAGGGACCGTAAAGAAAGGTATAAAAGAGATGACAGAGATTATGACTCTAGAAGACTTGATAGAAGACACACCCGCCATCGAAGAGAAGACAGATCAAGCAGAGATGACGCCAAAAGAAGGGATGACAGAAGCAGCAGAGATAGAAGGGATAGAAGAGATAACAGAAGAGATGGTAGAAGAGAGGACAAGAGAGACGACAGGAGAGATGAAAGGAGAGATGACAGGAGAGATGACAGGAGAGACGATAGAAGAGAAGACAGGAGAAATAAAAAGAGAGATGATAGAACAAGGGAAGAAAATAGAGCAAAACTTCAGCATAATGATAGAGATCTGAATAAGTCTCATAGAAAAAGGTCAGGAAGTGGATCCAAAGATGTTAAAATGAGTATTAACAATAATAGTTCCGACAAGGTGAAAGAAACGATACAAAATAATCACATCAGGAAACCTTCTCCAGAGGTTCAAAGCCCAAAACACTCATCTCCAAAGGGTTCTCCTGTGCGCAAGCCTATCTGATTACCCAACCGCTCTTTCAATAAAGATGAACCAAATTCCGCCAACCCTCAAAAACAAAGAGTATCAGTCCTTCAAAGATTTAAGAAGAGAAGGTAAGCTATTTAACTCTGCTGCTTGGTCTTGTCAGACACACCTTGACTTTGCACTAACTTTTTATGTATCAAAAAGTTCTAACCTTCTGTATAGTGAACTCCCTCAGAACTAAGCCAAGTTCTTACAAAATGACAGTTGATAGTAAGACCTAAATTTGTAAATTTATCAACTACTTTAAACTCTCTCAACTATCTATCTTCACCATCTCGGTTTGGGCTAGGTTAGGACTCTGAGCCTATTGGTCAGGTATCCCTAATATCAAGTTTGCTAATATAGCAATTTGGGTCAGATTTACTGTAACGTACTAGTTAGGTTTAATCTCATTAACATATTTCAGCAGTATGAACCAAGACTGGGGTTTTGGGGTTTTGGGGTTTTGGGGTTTTGGGGTTTTGGGGTTTTGGGG